GTGGTGGGGGTGGTGGTGGGGGTGGCGGTGGCGGCGGCGGCGGCGGCGGTGGCAATGGTGGTGTCATGTTGGCTTTCGCCACAAACACAACAATGCCTGACCTCCAGCAAGCACGACAAGGCCAGAAAAACATGCCACGTCGCCAGTACCAACTTACGCCTCAACCTGGCACGCAATTTGCCCAGATCAATGTAAGTGCTGCACACTGTACTGGAACTCAACGCGGTCAATAGCACCACCGGCAGTGATTTTCACAGATGCAACTCTCCTGCCAGAAATATGGCACGAAGAAACAACCAAAACACCGCGGTTGTCGCAAGCATCCTCGGTGGAGTCGCCCGATGTGGGTCGTCTTCGCGTTTGCTGACCTGCTTCAGGAGCAGAAACACGGTTGGTCGTGTTTGTTCAAGTCATGTTTAGTCGGAGGCATGCCACACGGCTGCATGCATGTAATGTTGCAAGACAAAACAGGCACCGACTTCTGACACTGGAATGTGATTCGTGGTATTTACAATGTGGTTCTGTTGCTCGATGGACGGCTTGACAAGCGTAGAACTGTAAATGTGCATGCATCGCACGGCTTTTCGACACATCCGATATTATGATTGTTCTCAAAAATGTGCAAGATAGAGGGGAACTGCAACATCGAAACACGCCATGCATCGCCATGCTGCTCTGCCTGTGGTGCCGTGCTCATTTTTACCCTCGGAGTGATCCAGGAATATGAAAGCTTGGGTACAAGCGCAGGTGGCAGCGCGGTCCTCCGGACTTCATGTGATCCTCCTCTTGCAGCTGTGACCGCCAGTTGCTGCAAGCAGTTCTCGCAGGGCATGTAGCGAGCAAGCACCGTAATAATAGAATACAACATTAAACCTCAAGGTCAACACTGTTTTTGCAGGATTTCGAAGAGCATGCGAGCCGGTTTTTTGTTGCGATTTAGGCTTGGGGCGCAAGCTCCTGAGAGTTTAAAGTCGTGTGGAGTCTTTGGTTTCGGGGCGTTCGGGCGCTTCTGTTCCAAGGAATACTACTGAGACAGTACATGAACGGCCACAGGCCCATCTAGGCCACTCGGGGCTACATGTTGGGATATTTTGGATATCGTTCGGGTATCGTCCAGTCCAGCTTGGGAGGGTAGTCTAGTATCCAACATTTCCATCCAGAAAAAGCGACACCCTTACGAAACCCTAAGCTAGGGTCATAATGGCAACATTGCTGTATTCGGGTATGGTATTTAGGGCGTCCCACAGCGTTTTACTGGACACCAATAACATTCGTTATCTTCGACAACCGCCTCTGTCAAATCATCTGTCTGCACGGCGCCTGCGTGCCACAGAGCTGAAGACTCCGTGCTTGCATGGTAGTAATTGCTTGCATCTGCCATTGTTGCGTTTGTTGTCCGCTTCCGGCTTCTAGGCGTGACTGACTTGACTAGTCTGCAAACAGCGCGCCTGCAAAGAGTGTCCTTAAATCGCCTTGCGCCGATAGCCGACATGCCGGTGCAAACTCGAAGCTCTGAACCGAAGCGGGAAGACTGACCGTCTTGCATAAGACCTCGACAGGCCCCTGGGGAATAGGATCAAAACGCAAGCTATGGGAAGGTTGCAGGGCTGAAGGTCTTACGAAGATACCGAGAAGCCAGGAAATAGGACGAAACGGAAGGTGAGTCTGGCTTGAAACTCCTGAAAGCACATCTGTGGGGCCTCGATGGAACGGACTGGAATGTCTGGAACCTGGCCTGCGCACATGCGGGACGATTGGAGGATTCAAGCCTGGTCGTAGCATCCACAAACGACATCCCCCACCAACACATCCTGCCTTCGGTGTTTTCAGCACGGTCTTCTGCCTGCTGTCGTGGAGCATCGCATGGCCTTAGCTTGACGCATCAAGTAAGACACACAGAGTTTCACACACAAATCTTCGGCAAGCTGCAAGAGCTTGCTTGACTTGGACCCGGCGATGCTGTTGAGTTCCATGGAAGCATTTTGGGCTCAAGGCTGGCACCATGAGTTATGCCTCTTTACGCTGCTCGCGGCCATAGTCCCAATGATGTGGCTTCAGTACATTTCAGTACGACACACTCCGCTGGAGATAGCACTGTTACAGTTCGTTCGCGTGCGCCGCTCAAAGCCAGCGAGAGTGCGGCACCAAGTACTGCAATAGCACAGGTGTCGTGATTGAAACGAGCAGATACAGCATGTCGAACTGTAGGAGAATCGCCTGTGCATCGCCAAGTGCCCGGGACATTGCCAAGCCAGGTACATCGGTGCCTGGCGTTTGTGTTGGCACAGCAAAAAACTCAAGGAAGCCCATCCACACAAGCAGTGAGATCCAGGCCTTTGAGGAAAACACGACGAGCATCTATGCCAGACACGAGCATCTGCCGCACCTAGCAGCTCAAATGGGCTGTCCCACACACTGCCAAGCTGCACGGACGGCCGCAACCACCTCGCCCCCCGCTGCCGCCATTCGGCCTCGTACAAGCCCCTCGCACAAACACCAGTGGAACCTCTCGATTGAGCAACACGAGGTGTCGGCACTCGGCAATGTCATCAATGTCATGATCGACAGTCTCGAAGAGCACCTCCCCACCACATCCAAACAAATCCGAGAAGCTCCCCGACACAGACCGAACCACACCCAGCGCCTTCTGCTGATGGCAAATGACCATCCGCGAGTCCCCGACATGCGCGCAGATAACGACACCAGCCTTTGACTCCATATCATTTTGGCCCATCCCTCAAACTGTGATGTCCCATCTTTGCCTCGGCATCGATCAACGCCAACGTGGCCGTCGTCCCTGGACATGCGTTTGATGGTGTGGCAAGAAGCAACATCCCGCATCATGCAATCGACCGTCATGTGGGGAATCGGACAGACATGCATGGGAGCCTCGCAATGCGAATGTTACTGCAAAACTGTGAAGTCCGGAAAGATTGCGCAGTATGCCAGGCGAATGATGCTGTATGCTTTTAAAACGAATGTCAGCTCCCGGTGCCTGACCACTCGGCAAGCCCTCCACGTTCCAAACCATCTTGCCTGTTCACTCTGCACAAGCTGTGCATTGCGAGTCGGTGGCAATGCAAACGAGCAGGGCTTGCGCCATGGCGAAAAGATGTGCCTTCAAAGATGCGGCGACAAATTGCGCCAAAATAGCAGGGTCTCACAGGTGCCCTCGTAGCTGAGTCTGTAACCATTTGCCGGGGCACAGATGCTTCGGGATTTACGCGCTGGTCCTCCCCACAGCGTCACAGCAGCCGCAACTGCATGCTGGCACACTGCATTCCTCGGCCATCTTGGCCAAGGCGTCGGCGAAACGAGAAAACAGCATAGAAACGGAAGCTGAGATCTCGTGTCCTTTCGCCACTGAGATCTTGCGACTTTGTGCGTGAGCAGCCGCTCGGTTGAATTTGGAATCATCATGGTCAGGCCTTGCTCACCGTGACCATCGAAGACACCAACAAGCATCCTGGCTCTGAGGCAAGAACCCAAATGTTACCAAGAACCTAAACCTGAACGGTCCGATCACGGCCCTGTCCTCGTGCATCCTAGCGGAATGGCGAGGCTCGCGTCCTGGAATTTGTTCTGACTTGTCGGACAACCATTCGCGAGTTGGCGATCGGTGGCGGAGCTAGCACAAGTTTCCTTTTCTTGTCTCGGTCGATCTATAGGCACGGGCGAAAGCTGCGTCACTCCGTCCTGGTTGGTCCAGTCAGTCTTGTGTGCCTTGCGTCCAGGCAGCGTGTCGGAGCCAACCTGAGCTCTGTGACTATGATCGGCTTCACACCGATAATGCAGGGTACAGTCATGGTAAGCTGCAGCACCTACCTTCCTCCACTCTTGCGACTGCAGAACACATGCCAGGAGCTCAAAACAGGTCTATGGCTCGGGAATACTGTCACTGCAATCGGCTTCACATTGATAATCCCTTCGACGACAGTACACGCCGGGTGCTCAAAACGGATCTAAGAAATCTTCGCCATGCGGCTCGAAGTAGAGAGGGAGACATCACTCCTCAACAGGTGCATGATTGCAAGATACCTCCAGAGGACCCGTCCCTTGTCCATCATGCTCGCATGTGGCTGTCCTCGTGAGTAGCTTGACACATTGCCAACGGCAGCAGAGGGAAGTCTCAGGAAAAAGGGTTGCGATCGCAAGCACTCTTCTGGCAGCCATACATCAAGTAAGTAAGATCTCCGCGGATCACCCAGAAACCCAAAAGCCTCCTCGGCAGTCTTAGCAGCGCAACAAACATCTGGTCCGGGCTACAAGGTGCGCTCCGGCTTGTCATGCGAGTATGGGGGCACCAGGCGAGCGAGGTGTGACGGATGCCTAGGCTACATAGATGGTCATAGGTGATGATGATGATGATGAAGATGATGATGATGATGATGAGGATGAGGAGGAGGAGGACGAGGAGGAGGACGCGGAGGATGAGGATGAGGAAGATGAGGAAGATGAGGATGAGGGTGATGAAGATGAGGATGAGGATCACGATGAATATTAAGATGATGATGATCATGGCGATGATGATGATGGTGATGATGATGATGATGATCAGGATGATGATGATTATGATGATGGTGATGGTGATGATGATGATGAGGAGGAGGAGGATGATGATGATGATGAGGATGACGAGGATGAGGAGGATGGTTATGAGGATGACGAGGATGAGGATGATAAGGAAAACTATGATGAGGAGAATGATAATGATGATGATGAGGAGGAGGAGGATGATAAGGATGATGAGCATGAGGAGGAGGAGGACGATGAAGATGAAGATGAAGATGAAGATGAAGATGAAGATGAAGATGAAGATGAAGATGAAGATGAAGATGGAGATGGAGATGGAGATGGAGATGGAGATGGAGATGGAGATGGAGATGGAGATGATGAGAGGATGAGGATGGGGAGAAGGACGAGGATGATAAGGATGATGAGGATGAGGAGGAGGTGGAGGAGGATGAGGATGAGGATGAGGGTGAGGAGGATGATGACGAGGAGGAAGAGGAGGAGGAGGAGGAGGAGAATGATGATAATGATTGATGGTGATAGGTGGTGGTGGTGGTGGTGGTGGTGGTGGTGATGGTGGTGGTGGTGGTGGTGAACTTGACCCGTCCCGAGTAAGTGACAAGGTGATTTACCAGCAGCAGCCTAGTACGCTTCACGGAAGAGGAATTTGCAAATCCTGTCTCCTCGACCAATCCCTGCTGCTGGGTGCGGGGGTGCACCATCAACCAAATGCACATCCCCCCAAAAGTACGTCCAGACCGACCAAGCGTTCTGTATGTGGAGCAGAGCAAGGAGGGGCTGGCTCTGGAGAGCCCAGAACCGCCAGAAAACCCGCACTGGATGGATCCTGCTTTCTTTGCCTGTGTCCAACACCCCACACAAGGTGCATTAGCAGTCCGACTGACGCAAGACTAAGCAGGTGAGAGGGGATCAGTTTTTTCGTGAGCCCGTCGCAAACTCGTCGCATGTACATCCTTGCCAAACTGTGACCTCATTGGTTTGTGAATTTGTTCGCCCTTTAGCGCCCCTCCTAAACTCAAACTCATATCTGCTACTGGACTGGCCTCACCTGTGCAGAGACCCACGCAAGGCTGGTGTGCCATGGATCGGCAAACGCACGATGCACCAGGACCAAACCGTGCAGGATACCCACGTGATTGGCCACTGGCCTGCTGCACAATGCTTGCAGGTGACCTTGGCTTGACAGAAGTGGGGCCAGACCGCTTGACCGTGACTCCTGGGCAGCAAACGGCTGCTTTTCAACCACACGGTTATATGAAGAAGCCCATGCTGGGGCCTCGTGACACCGAAGTGTTCAGAAATGTTGGGAGGACATGGAATTTGATCGGATTTGATTGGCCTTCACATCCGCTGGCATGAAATATGGGCGCGGTCCACAACTGACAGCAATCCGAAAATCAGGCAAGGGGGCCAGGTGTTTGTCGGATCTTGACCGTGCTTCCGCCGCCTGGAAGATGAAAATGTATCGCCTTTTCCCCCAGCTACCTCAGGGACACTTCTACTACCTGAACGCAGTCCCACTCATCGCCTCAGTCTCCGACAGCAGAATCTGCTGGATGACCCGATGTTGAGCCTTGCTCAGAAGCTCTCTCCTACATTCTACGATGGACGTCGCAGCAAGTTGAGATTGTCCGGCTTGCCCCAGTGCACGATTTGGCATACACTCCGGACACCCGAAGTCTTGCTTCATGATTTACGGAGCGCTTTGACCGCATAGGGCCACGGGGCGGCGGCAGCGTGTGCTGGACGGGACCCCTCCCACCATGCTTCGGTGCACAAACGAAAATCGCGTGCTCGCCACCACCTCGAATTGTACATTCACTTTCGTACTTGGGGCCACTGCGGACACTGCGCCTTGCGTATTTGGGGGTTGGGTGTCGAAATCGTGCTCCCGACACAGACCCTGAAGTCGTGGCAGTGCCACACTTTTCCCTTCGTCCTGGCGGTGTCTCGAAATCTCTGCCGCATGCACACTTTATCCACTGCCCCAGTCGTGCGGTGCGTGTTCTGGGGAGCCAATCTGCCAATCGAGCACAGTCAATCTCCTGCCACATTTTGGAATCAAGCAATGGGTTTGGGAGGTTTTGGGATGTAGACTGCTAGGTGCTCTTGCACAGTTTGGGGTCTGTGCTGACACAGCTTTGCTTCCTGGACCAATCCCAACGTGTGAGTACTTGTTTCCCCCCCTGATGGGACACTCAGACCTAGTGGGAATTGGGATAGATACAGTTGTAAGCATTCTGCCTGTATAGCTTCTGATTTTGACATCAGGGGCCAGCTCAATCTGTGCTATTCTTGTTTTCTTGCTTTCCGCTCTGCCTGATCTGATCAGATGGGAGAAACTGATTTACGCAAAACTCGGTAATCAGCACACGATTATATGACAACCTTTCCGCTCAGGCAACTCACAGCTTCAACGAAGAGCCGGCATTCAGCACTTAGTGCTGCCATTATTGCATTCTCACGGGCTTTACAAAACGCACTCGTCACGACGTACGGACATTCGCCTCATAGGACCCTGCAAACCCTTGCTTGATCGCAACATGGCGCACCTGAAACCTCACATCAAGCTGCACCCGCTGCTCTTGCAAATATGCCAATGCAACATGTGTCGTCAGATCTGTTCGCCTGCAAGGTCAGCATGTGACTTGAGTTCCATTCAGTTTATGAAAACTCGAGGGGTCGCGAAGACTGCCGCTCGTGACTGCCTTGAACTGCCGGCCATGCATCAAATAAATTTTGCGTTGTGCGAACGCCAGGAAGGCCACCCATACCCGAGCACAGCTACGGGAGTCCTTCGAATCAGAACTGAGAAATGACTCTGAGAAGCTCACCCGAAGCACACCCACCCGTGTCACAAGTGGTTGGACTATATTGGACTCTCATGCCCAATCGAAGTTTGGGATTGGGATCCAAGGACCTAAAATGCTTTTCCGCATCAATACCGAGCCTCGGCATGAAGAAGCTGGAGCCCGAATCAGTATGTCGTGCTGGAAGGCCTCACGGAAAGATAGCGAAACTCCACAAAGTGCATGTCCCCGACAACCAGTTGCCTCCAGCTGCTGGCAGCCTCCGCACCTTGGAACACTTTAGCAGGCTTCTCGCGTCCTAATAAGCTAGACAATCATAAATGCGACCATGACACTGGGACGAAGCTTCTGCCTGAACAGCATCACTCTTCTTTCACACCCTCGTTCACTTGACGCCCCTTTGGGAATGGATTCTGAACCTAATGCCAAAGCGACACCCAACTCTACGGAATAGAATGAAATCTCTCAACGGTCTGCAAGCAGGAGGCATATTCTGTCATTTTACAGTGACTGAGACATTTACGATCAAGAACCCTGCCAAACCGATATCTCGGGTCGCATGACAGTTTGGTGGGGCCACTCGCTCCAGCCAGGAACACTTGAGATGCGCTTGCCTGTCAGCTGATGCGACCCCGAGGAGGCCGAAAGTATCAGGATTTTGTACTTAAGAAGCAATGAGGGTGACCAAAACCGGAAGCTCTCGGAAAGCTGCGGCTGGATAGCACGATCGGGTAACATGATCAGGTTCCAAGGCTATCGGAGACAAGAGCAAATTGTGGAAGCTGAGAGAAGGGTCACATTGCGGCATGGGGCTACTACGTCATACGATCTGGCTCCTGGGCTACCGAAAGACAAGCGGAGGTTGTGAAGGGAGACAGGGATCGCCCGAGGAGGAGAACACGAAGTGAACCCAGAAGGGAATGGAGGATTTCACACATGTCAGACTCCTTAGGCAATATGGAGTACCAATGCTTCATTCTATATATATGAAGTGGCGTGGCCATGCGAAGTTGGAACCGCAACTCCCATCTGAAAACCTGCCGAGACAGCCATGTGTAACGCTGGCCTTGACCGACTCCACAGACCTGCAACAATGCGATGCGCGGCGCTGAGCTTCCGGAACCCAACCGAGCCATTGAGCTCATGGCTGCATATTTTCCGTGCTTGGGACATCGGCATCAAATCCGTCAATCCTTACACAGCCGATTCTTGACCAGACTTCAAATCGGCGACTTGAAACAAGGCTAGGTCTGCATTCGAAGGTGGAACTTGAAACGCTCGAGGTTGCGTGCAGACTGCAAAAGTGAGGGCTGGAACTGAAAGCTGGAGCAAGGCACCCAGAAACCACTGCCTCTTTGTGCAGAAGGCGGAGGGCCCTTGAATAATCTGCCAGCTCCGTGTCTGCAGCTGCTTGCAACAACGATGCGACCTGTCGATGTAAGAGAAGGTCACTATCCTTACAAGTGACTCCGCCTCTTGCAATGGACATACACGTGGCTTTTCTTGGCACAAACCACTTTGCACACGGACCTTGGTATGGCTCTGAGCTTTTGTGAAACTGGTTTTAAGCACGGAACTTGACACTGTGCCATCCGTGCAAATCTAGTGCACAAAGAGCGAGCTTCCGCGGAAGCCTCCTGACTCCCTTTCGTTGGGAAGCACTACGTGTGCAAATGCTTGATATTCTTTGCAGACTCCACGTGTTCTGCTGCCGGCATGGCCTGAGAGAAGAAGATCTCGACTCTAAGACTTGCGATCAGCATTGGTCCGCCTCTCCCCGCCTGTGGCTTGAAGTAGTTGTAAACGGCCATGGGCAAGCCTTAAAGCCACATGACATTTGACATGCCATACACCGCATGACCCTGCCTCGCTGACTGTACGCCAGAAAAGCCGCGCTGCCTCCTCCTGCAAGGGAAGGAGAACGGGCACGAGTGTTGAAAGGCCTGCATGGTGCACAGAACGATATGTTTGTCGAGTGCACAGCACCCAGGAGACCAATCGTCACAAACGTGTTACACTGCTCTCCTTCTACTGTGCTACAGTCTTTTCAAAGGTTTTTGCACCACGTTTGCGGTCAGCATGAAGGCATCAGTGCCGGCAGCAGAGCTTTTGTAAACACGATTGAACGGAAAATCCCACGCCTTTGAGCACGCGCACACACACAAAGATATATATATATATGGGTAGGTAGTTATCCCCCCCTGCGTTTTCGCATCTTTGTGTTTTGGGTGTCGCAGTGTCATTGTATCTTGCACGTGTCCTGGTCTGTTTCGAAACCGTGTCTCTGTTTCGAAACACCCCGGTTGCCCCAACCCATTAACCCATTAACCCAATCATTCCGGCCAAATGGACTTGGAACCCATTAACCCATTAACCCATTAACCCAATCAGTCTGGCCAAATGGACTTGGGAGGCCCCAACCCATTAACCCATTAACCCTTTAACCCAATCATTCTGGCCAAATGAACTTAGGAGCAGGGTTTATCTCCACTTAGGCAAATGATTGGGTTAATGGGTTAATGGGTGTGTGTACACCATCCCCACTTGGGCAAATCATTGGGTTAATGGGTTAATGGGTTGATGGGGTTGCTGCGTTTGTGTACGCCATCCCCACATGGGCAAATCATTGGGTTAATGGGTTAATGGCTTATTGGGTTAATGGGTTAATGGGTTAGTGGGCTAATGGGATAATGGGATACTGGGTTAATGGGTCGTGGGTCGTACTTTAGTGGCGGGCGCGTGTTTCGAAACATTCCGTATGTTTCGAAACACGCGTCTGCTTGAACCGCCCCGCTGCAGGTCACCTGTGCTGCACCTGATCTTCCAGGGGGGTTTTGGAAGTGGTTTGTTTGTTTGTTGTTTATTGTAGTGTGGTTTTTAGGTTGGTTGTGCCTCGGCTGCATCTGGTGACTGTCTTTCTTCTATTTGCTTATGTCGTAGTTCTACTTGGCGTAGTATTGGTTTTTAAACACAGTATGTACCAGCGTATTCGCACGACTACACGACGACTGAAGCACAGTATGCACCACCGTATTCGCACGACAACCGAAGCACAGTATGCACCACATATTCGCACGACTACGTGACGACCAGTATGCACCACCGTATTCGCACCACGGTATTCGCTCTGCTACACGACGACTAAAGCACAGTATGCACCACGGTATTCGCACGGCTACACGACGACTAAGGCACAGTATGCACCACCACATTCGCACGACAACCGACCACCGTATTCGCACGACGACCGAAGCACAGTATGCACCACCGTATTTGCACGACACGCGACGACCGAAGCACAGTTTACACCTTCATATTCTCACGTCTACATGACGACCGAAGCACAGTTTTCACCTTCATGTTTGCACGAATACAAATCACTATGAACTGACATGCGTCGCGACCAAATCACACCATCAACATCTCATGTTCACCACTGTTGTGGCCACGGTGACTTCGTCTGTGGAGCCATGTGATCTGAATCCGCCGTGCTTGTCGAAACATGTTGGCTTTAAGCCCCAGCACTTCGTAGCGTCAACGTGCCCGCCATCACTCCCAACAGTGGCTGCAAGAGCCATGTCGGTTTCAGTGAAGGGCACTGCAACCTTGAAGAACGGCCAGGTTTCTTTGGTTCTTCAACCTGATGTCCAGGACATTCGCCCTGACACAAGTGCCACGGCTACGGGGTCAAACTCCAACGAGGACGATGTTCAGATTGACGTTCGCGCAGCCATGATGAAGAAGATCGCTGATGGCCTTATGCCGGTACACCCGAGTCGTTCACCAATCTCATCTCGAACTTTGTTGGTCCAGATTTGCCACGCCCAAGAGAAGCAGCAGTTCACCAAGAAAGGCATATATGGCCAATGGGATCCCCGTGCAGAGTCCGCATTGGCAGCAGCGTTGTTGAAGCCGAAGCGCAATTGCAAGTCAACTTCGTCAGTCCCTTTGGCACTGGAGAACAGCACCACCTCGCCATCTTCAGCATCCCCGGCGCTAGCGATTTGCAACACTCCGGCTTCAAACGCCCAGTCGGCCCCCAAGACTACCAACACCGATGAGGCAAAGGCTGATTCGTCATCGGATTCGTCATCGTCTTCGTCATCTTCTACATCCTCCAGCGAAGATGAGCAGCAGGAGCACTTCAGCGAAGATGATCAAGAGGAGCACGACGTGCCCCAGGAGCCCAACGACGAGCAGCACGAGCCCGACAACAAGGTCATGCCTGAATATTTCAAGTGGACGGACGACTGGCATGACGTGTATGCTCAGCTGTTGCAAATCTACGACAGTTCCGAGCTTAATCCCAAACGGCGTAGGATCATGGACACGCTTTTGACCGACCTTCGCAAAGCACAGGATCAGTTTGACGCGGCCGTGTAACGAGGAGTGCGCGCGAATCCGCATGCAGAAAAGTGTGTCTGCTTTGTATTGTAAGATGTTGCAGGCCCGTCATGCGCAGTTTGTTTCGTGATGTTTGGTTTCTATGTGCACGGCGGTGTTTCGAAACATCGGCTCGGTTTCGAAACAAACGTGGCTGTACATCTGTTGTGTCGTACTGATACTGATGCTACTCATAACAGCCACGTAGTCGTTTCCAACATTACACAAACATCATCACCACCGTCGTCATGTTGACCATCTTCAGTACCATCCACATGCCATCATGGTCGTAATCATCATCGTCCACATGCTTGTTTGTACCAAAACAGCAGGGACTTTGGAAAGAGAATACACTTTGCACACTGCTTCTTGTCGGAATCACTGCATCTTACATCTGCCGCAGCTTGATTCTCTGAGCGGTGCAGTGCAGCAGCGAGCCATGGCCAAGCACCATCAACTCCGGAGGTTGGCAGCTGGGACTTCTGGTATGGATTTGCTTCTCTTTTTATGTTACAATCTTATCCTCTCTTAGTCTTTGATGAATCTTGATGCCACAACCAGGAAACCCATGGCAGCCTACAGGAAGGCATTGGAGGAGGTTAAGAACCATGTCATGACGGAACTGAAGACCCCCATCGTTATCACCAAAGAGACTGTTTCCGGCTCAGTGAACGACTTGCCACTCAAGGAGCACTCCCACCAGTAGAAAGCCAAGACGCTGGTGGACATCATTGAAAATGTTGCTCTGGACGCTGTGCCCTGGGAGTCGATTCCAGTGTGCCTTGCCAATGATCGATATACTGAACTACCACCTCCATTTCGCACTGACATTTGTCCAGACACAAGTTTCGTACTCCAGATATCGATTATCAAGAATGCTACCGGTACCTTCGGCACAGTGATCAAGCGCTTCATCTTTGCGGAGAAGACTAATTCCTTACGCAACATCGACGAAGTTGTACATGGTACTGGCAACCTCATCGACTACTCCCCGACCTTTCGAAGTGGAACATGTGCATTCCAAATTCTTCTGGAAAGGATGTCTCACTGGATGTTGTCGTATCGTCGGCTAGAGCACAAGCCCAAGCAGGCCAAAAGCTCTGAGAATCCTAACGACCTCCAAACCGGGTTTGACTACATCCGAGAGTTTGGCCCGATGGCTCCAGGATGTCGACAAGCACTGCTTTGCCAGCGAAGTCGCCTTCCAGCAATATCTTATTCAACGTCGGGTTCTGGACGAAGGCGGTGCCAATGTCTCATTGTCACTGAGGGCAGTCGGCATCTTCTTGAAGTACGGGATTGCTTTGCAGATAAAGAGATGCACGAAGTGTGGTAAGCCCGCTCGCTTCGAGCAGCGAACATCGAGGGGATGGACGACTTTTGGGTGGACGTGCAGTGTTGTCGGGCATAAGCACATGGAACTACAACTCAACCAATACAGCTTCCTCACCGAAGTACCAGTGAACAGCTGGTTCCCGTTTCTTCATCTCATCAACATGTTGCGTCTTGGTGTGAACTGGTCCACTATCATCCAGGAGTTGCAGGCAGGCTACGGCAATGTCACCAAGAAGACGCTTGCGAAACGGCGTGACGTCTTCCAGAAGGCTCTCGGTGTTGCCCTGGACAAAATGGACTGCAGAGTCGTTGGTGGCAAGAAGGAGACCGTCGCGATGGACGAAGCCATTGTCGGAGTCCATCCTGAAGACGGTTGGTCAGTTGGCTCCAAGGGGATCAACAAAGCTGGTGCAGAACAGACTAGGAAGTCGGCGCGCTTGGAACGGAGCAACTTGGTTTCCAAGGGTGCCATGAAAAGGTTGCCAGCAAGAACTCTGCATGGAGCGGAGAAGGCTTCTCCAGCGGGGCCACAGCTTCTGAAGAAGCCGGCTTCAATACGAATGAAGCGGCCATGTGGCGTGATGAAAACGATCCAGAAGAAGCCTGCTGCCGTTCGACCGCCAGCAAAACGACTCAAGAAGACATCAAGACAAATGGTGCCTGGCCATGGCTTGCTGTCGCCGTAGGCAAGAACAAAGAGGTCTACACCCA